TTTGTCTCAACTCCATTTGCGTTGCGTTTTGAAATAATGCAACTTTCAAAATTCAAGATTTTCGATCCAAGATGGCTGACAGCTTAATTATGCATGACGTCAAAAAGCTTTCCCTGTCAGGAACAAGTCGTGTGGGCTTGGTCCCCCTAGCAGCTTGTTCTGGAACTTCATGGGACTTTCTGGCGAAATCTTCTAAAGCCAATAAGTCCAGATAGGAACAACGTATTTTCATCATTTTGGGTATGCAGGTAGCTGAGAGAGAGTAGTACAAAGTTAAATGCAAATTATGCAATGGGGGCCTAATTTGTATAATTAAGGAAGAAATTCTATAATTACAGTGTTTAATATAATAGTTCTTTTATACATGTAATCTATTTAATCTATGGTAGGCGGACCATCAACAGATACCAATTATGCAAATGATGACCCAATTTGCATAATCAATGTGAAAATTCTGTGACTCCTTTTTGGCGAATGGTGGAAATTTGATACATCGTTACATGTATAAGTTACTGAAAGGTTAGCATTACTATGCATACATTATGTTAATGTGGAAGTACTTGCATGATTGATGAGGACATGTTGGAATGAAGTATGACAAAGCAAGGAGGTATGAGATCTCAGAACTCCTGTTTTAAGAGGTTAAAAGCCTCAAAAAACTGTTTTTAAGGGTTTTCACCAGGGGAGAAATAAACCACATACGTTATTTTTATGGTAAATATCGCTGATTTGGACCATGCATTTTTCTGTCGCGTTGACGATTTTGAGTTCGTAAACGTATCGGCTTTGAGATTTATTTTCGGGGTCGAGGGCTTTGGTACCCTTGGAGCCATCCTCGGGGGTCTCGGAGAGTTATTAAACGCGCGAGGGCCTTGGTTAGCCCGTCCCCGGCACACGCCCTCCCCGCCCTACGCTGTGTACCACATACGAAAACCCTCTAGGCCGCGCGCTGTAATGATTACGGAAACCCCATAGGTCCATTGCGCACGTACAAACGGCCTGTTCTTCTAGCCTGCATGGGCAGCCATCACTTTTGTAACGGGGTGGTTTAGTGTCAATTGCACTTGGAGAGTCCCGGTACAAAACGAATGGGGCCTATTTTTATAATATCCAAGCATATCATTCGGTGGCAGGACAGTATCCCTTGGCCAGACGAGTGTCCATGGCTGCCACTGTATGATCTGATTAGCATCCAGGCTAATAGATCTTATTAAAACCACAGTGAGTCCGGGACAGATGAAACGATGCGTATACTAGTATCTCTCAGCGGGTAGCTTCGTTATGTTATAAAGGTATAATGTAAAGTGTATACTTCACCTTGCCACTCCAATTCTTCGAAAAGCTTTCAGGCGCGGCCGGGATACAATGGTGGTGCGTCTACTAGCGATGTCTTTGGTACTGCAATGCTGTCCCTAGTCCCTACTGTACATTTACATACATTATATTGTCTGTCAGACGCCTGCCCGAGCCTTGACACGGCGTCCCCGCGCCGCTCGGACCCCCCGAATCCCCATAGTCACGGCCGGAGTACAGCAGTGGTGCGCCCATTGGCGATGCCCTTGGTGCTGAAATGGGGGTCCCTAATACATCTACTGTATATATGGGTGTGATATTGAGTTGATAAATAGTGTACATGTATATACTTCACCTTGCCGCTCTGATTCTTCGAAAAACTCTCAGGCGTAGCCTAAGTACAGCGGTGGAGTACAGAAGTGGTGCGCCCATTGGCGATGTCATTGGTGCTGAAATGGGGGGTCCCTAATATATCTACAGTAACGTTATATGTGGAGGTGTAATTGAGTTGCTATACTTCCGTCTTGCCAATCCGATTCTTCGAAAAAATTCTCAGGCGCGGTCGAAGTACAGCGGCGGTGCGTCTACGGGCGATGTCCTTGGTACTGAAATGGAGGCCCGTAGTCCCTACTGTACATTTACATTTATTATTTTGTCTGTCAGACGCCTCCCCGTGCCTTGACACGGTGCCCCCGCGCCACTCGGACCCCTCAAACGATTGGTCCCTAATATCTGCTACCGTTTTACGTGTGTAGATGAAGTGCTATGTCTCCGTGCGCCACCACTACCTCCCAAGAGGGTTTAGCAGCGACCAAAGTACAGCAGCGTCGTGTCCACTGCCGATGTTCTTAGTTCTGAAAATCAGGGTCCCTAGAACCTAGAATGTGTGGAGGGCATCACTCTTTGCCGTGTGCATATTTAGGTTGACTATAGATAGTCTGGTGTCCAGGGAAACTGAATGATTGACATGTAAACAATGGCCCAGGCACGGGGCTTGAAAGGAACCTTCAAAAACGACGTAAAGTGTGGTCACAGAGGCCAAGGTTTAAAAACAACAACGTAAAAAGTGTTCTCGAAGATAATAGTGTAATCAGGTTTTGGGGAATCAGAGTTCAAGGCCCACAGATGTTTAGTTTGCGCCAGTTCGAGTTAAGACTTGATGAGGTACGTTCCTCTTACCAAGTTTAGTTAGAGCTAATGCGCGCTTATAGTCAGGTTCGAGTTTTTAAGCCAAAAGATCCAGAGAACCCACGAGTACGCGTGTCAAGGTGAGATCAGTTTATCTTTTGTTACCATAACAAGGCAAGGACACACTCAAACGATGCTTCTTATGAAAGATTGCTTCCAAAATTGCTATCTTCTTATTATGGTAAGAACGTAACTCAAGTGCTTCTTTCCAAGTTGTAAGTTGGTTTGAAATGTAGTGTAAACCTTATCGGATAATTTGTGGGAGAGGTAAAAAAATTGTCGTTAGAATAAGTTGCGTTTTGCAGCTGCGTTAAATTTGTCAGCCTGTTGTACATTAGGCCACGCTGACTTTTTTAATGAATGCCTTTCGCGCGCGCATTGATTTTCGGCTGTCCTATGAGCCTCTGGCCTGGTCATGCTAGTTAGCGACAATAGGGAGCCGGCGGTAACTCTGGAGGATGGCACCAAGGCTGCCAAAGCTCCACGACTCAAGATCTTAATACATGCGTACAGTGTCGATTTATTAATTCCGCAAAAAAGCCAGCATGTACCGGCTTGTCGTATACGTCACTATGTACTGACTTATTACAATACCAGCTTTGTATTCCTGTGGTTTAGTAGCTTTTTTTGGGCCGGATTTTTTTATTCTCCCGCGCGCACAAGTTCGGAGGTCTTCAGAGGATGTCATCCATAAAATTAAGGAGGTGAGGCCTTATAGTTAATAAGTAGGTCAGTAAAGATACTACCTTGGAGCGGTTTTCGCATGTTTTTAAAGGCATCCAATGCGATTTTAGGGTAGCAAAACTGGAAGTATTCTAAATAAGGCAATCTTTGTGATATCGACACATACTGCTTCACATTAGCACATTTAAATCAGCATTTCATACTTTGGGCATTTAAAACTGCAGAAACAAGCCCCAAGATGAGTCCTTCATTTTCTGGGCGGTACCCTAAAAATCACACCTAAATGCAATCATAATTCGTCGACGCCAGCTAGCTAGAAAGCAGCTGCTCCTTGTGTGATCACCAGTATATTCATCCCGATAAATTATCGCGTATTTGTGCTAAAACTAGATCTGCATCTCAAAGTTGTACAAAAGTATTTAGGCAATCATAAATGTAAGAGCAGATATTTTTCATATATTCGATTACATTCAGTGACGGTAAACCGGGCCAATTGGCAAAAAAATTCAGGTGGCGTTAGATGTGATCAGAGAACTAGAGACATTGCCGGAACACATGCGAATATAGTACTAAATTTTTTCTGATATTGAAAAATAGAAAGTCAGTTCATATCATGACAGTTTACAATCTGATTTTATAGCCAAGCAAATGAGTTGTCATGGGCGATTGTATTGTCGGTCATTAACGGCAAAATTCTATTTTTACGGTAGACTGGCATTCTCTAGATCCTTGCTACAATGTTTATGAGTAATTAATGATTTTTTGTTAGTAGCACAGTAATTAATAGGTCCTATATTTGGCCACGAATTGATGCACCTGCATGTATATTATTACTGTACATCTCACCCTGAACCCAGAAAAAATAAGGATAAATTTTGAAACAGCAATAGCCTTTCGCATAAACTACATTCTATGTTGCAAGCAATATCAAAGGTCAACGACCTGTTACCAACTGCCCACTCCAAGCGCAAACATATAAACAATTGATAATTGAATACTTCACCATACAAACAGCCACAAAAAAACGTCGACGAAGACATGGGTTCTCTGACCTCTAATTTGTATATTAATAAAACGTGACACGGGCTTCACTGACGGGTGTTGTGTACATAGAATTCAGTTTCTAACCGCTGATTCGAATTCGAAAAGTCAATTCTTGACGTTCTGGAACGTGTTGTACCTACTAGTATCCCAAAACTCTTTAAAACCTAGCAAATGATAACTTAGGCTTACTTTTTTATGTAATATCGTTTAATGAGGACATTGATTTACGTTAAATGCGCAAAAACTTTAATGACATTTATTGTATAATAATAATTATTATTGTTATTATTGTAATAAGATAATTGTTATAATAGTTGTTTTTATTTGTATTTTACAATGTATGTCAGAGGACTCCGGGAAGAGTAGTAAAACCAATAACAACAACAACCATGCCCGCGCCTGCGACATTTAATTCACCTTTTAGTTCACAAGGTTTATGTCGGAAGCATTTTAAATAAGTGAAACTTGTGCCATCAAATGTGCCTTAAGTTATGTAACAAATCAGGGGTTTATTTAATGGAAATTGGATTAAATGAAAGATCAGCCCTCTCTGATAGTTTTGCAGCTTTGGCAGCAGACTAATTAGGTTCAGAAGAAATAACTCTACCCCGTAACGCACTCTCAGCGTCCAATGAACGTTAAGTTAAAGTTATCTCTATGGCAACAGTATTTTTTTTAGATACCGCCTTACCGAGCGACGTATTATTAGCAACGGTTCGGAGAGAAGAGGACAACCACAGGAAAGCGAAAATACGGAAAATCCTTCCCGCGGACGAGAGAGCAACGACGACATGACCGAAAACATCTTTATGGAGGTTTCGGACACAGACGTGATCGGAAATTCAGACGTTAGAGGGGGGAAAACCTTTGAAATTCAGGCTATTGTGGAGATCGAGAATAAACCGCCATTACAGCAGAAAAGCACCGGGGCGTCGGCACAGTCGGAGCTACCGTCTGATGAAGGTGACGAATTAGAGAAACTTTATGAAAGCAGGAAGACAGCAGGTACGTCAAACTCTATGTTTTCTATAGACCATACATCGGATTGTTTCCAGGTCCGTCATGTACATGTATACATGCATCTGCACTACACACAGCGTTAGTTTACACGATAGAAAATATTATATGTCCCACGACGATCGACACGCGAAGCCGCGAAATTTTTTACCTCCATGAAAAATTGAAGTAATGTTTTTGTCGTGTCCGTGTGTCTGTCTGCGTGTGTGCTTGTGTTTCCGCACAATTGTAGTTAGCATAACTTCAGAACGCATTGATGGATTTTAATCACATTTGGTATGTTGGTAGGTCGTTTGGAAGACAAAGGTCAAGGTCAAATATAGGCCTCCTGTTGGCTGACCTTGCTACTGCAGCAGAACTTCCGTTTTTTGGTATCTTTTGTCCTGAACATGCTATGGTCTTGGATTTTTGGTGACAGATAGCTTTTTTTTGTCAGAAATAAATACTGTGTGTTTTGTCCCCCTAGCAGCAGCAGTTCTGGAACTGCAGGGTAGTTTCTGGCGAAATCTTTGAAAGTGAATAAGTCCAGAAAGAAATAACGTATTTTCATCAATTTTTTGTATGTAGGTCGCTTATAGAGAGATGTAATCAAATGCAAATGATTGGTTGTGTGAAAAGAGTCCATTTGTTCAGTATGTTGCGATGTTTTAAAGTTGGGCATTACATTCTGTAAGGTAGCCTTTTCCAAGCTTCGGGAGACGGCTGGGAAGAGCAGAAGTTGGTCAGATGAAGAGCTAACATGCCAAGTGAGTTGGTCCGCTAGATCTAAAAGAGTACAGTTCAGCTGCGTCAATCTTTATCCCTGGCGTGTTAGCTATCTATTTGGCCAATTTCTACTTTTTCCAGTCGCCTCCCGAAGCCTGGTAGATGCGAATTCTCAGCGACCTTCGACCGAAGTTGTTTATCGACAGAAGGTCGCAGAAGCTAATTTCCGGCTTATACACGGCAGTCGCTACTTGTAAAGGTTTGCAGAACGGCAAACATTAAGGGTATTTGAACGCTCCGTAAACACTATCATGTTTTATATAGAGTATATACATGTAAATTATTAGGGTTTTAGAAATATCCTGTTTTTACCCGGGTTTGAGTCCAAACTTGTACTTTCAATGTGTTTTTTTTTCACTTTTCTTTACTATTCTTTACGATGCTGCCGCATATTTAAAATTGCAATAATGCAGCTTTTTATACATGATATATGTACGTTTTTGCCCCTAAAAACGTGATGATACCTTCGAATATGGCATTGACCATTTCAAATGGCAACGACCGTTACCGAGACCGAAACGTGCGTCGAAAATCTACCCTGTAACGTTACATTGGACCGGATTCGGTGACCTCGGAACATTTTTTTTTTCATTAAAGCATAAGAAAAGAAATACAAGATAACAATGGCGACGAAATTAAGTTAACCCTGAAACAACCGAACGGGGTCCATGTGGACCCCAGGCGTATATTTTTATGTGCTATTTGAAAATTTTTGATTCGAAAAAAAATTCCTCCCGTGACTTTGTCAATAAACCTTTTCTTCAAGTTCTCCCATTTTTTTTGGAGATCGGCACACATTTGTAAAAATAACAACAGAAAGTCTGATGTAGAATGTCTGGGGTACTTACGGACCCCAGCGATATTTGCACTTCCCTACACACGAAATATGTGCAAAGATCACCGAAACAATGCAAAAAGAAAAATAAATTTGAAAGATACCAAATGGGGTCCATTTGTAACCCGTTTGGTCATTTTCGTCACAAAAAAGTTGGGGTGTTTGAGGGTTAATAAGAGAGTAAAAGAACAAGAAACAGTCATGCCTTCCAATATCAGAGTTATCCTAAAAAATTATGGTATTCAAAAACTCGTATTTCCCCAGAACTATCGTATAGACTGCAACTCGTTGCCACCAAGCACAGTTGGGGCATTATCACTAGAAAGCTTTAAACAACTCTTGCAATTAAATGAGAAAAGTATAACACGTTGTTCGGTGTGATATAGCTAGCTGCTGCCGCGCCGCTTGCCTGCGAAGCTTGTGTGTTACGCCGAAGGGCGGTTATACCGGCTATACTGATACAGATACAGAATAAAACTTGCATTGGAAATGTAATGGCCGGTCCCTACAAAATAAGAAGCCATCAAAAGCATACCGACCACATTCCGGAAATCATTTGCTTTGTACTCGCCGACTTCAGCACGTCGGGCGAGCTATTTTCTCTGCTGTATAACGCCGGCAATTTCAGGGCAACAAAACCATAATATTCTGAATGGAGAAATCTGTCTGATAGTTAAATCTACTGCCATTTCTTTGCACATTTCGCCACCAGCTTATACTTGAAACGTTAAGGTACCCCTAAAACGAGCTACACGAGGAGACCCTTATTTATCGGGTACCACCAATAAAAAGCTAACATAAGCCTACGATACCAAACGAGAAACCATCTTCCCTCAGCGACGTCACTATTTATTTTTACCAGTATGCTATGCGGAATAGGGTTTATTAAACTGTTACTGCATTTGTCATTGACCAGAAAATTGAAAACCCAGTTTTACTGCCCTGATTTGGATGCATGTAATATTTGACAGCTAGCGTAGCAGATTTACATGTAAATCTAAATCTAAGTATGACAGTTTCGTAGCAGGTAATACTCTGACTCATGAATAGGGTATACATAGAAATTATGAGCAAAAAACAGGTTTAAAACATTCCTTGAAATTGTACACATTTTGCAAGTTACGTCAAAAGTAGTAGAAAGTAGCAGAAATATGACTGACGTTGCACGACGTATACACACAACTCACTACTGTAAGAGGAAAAAGATAACATGTGTAGTTTGCATGTCTGACATTCATGTCTACAGAATTACTGGCGAGATATTGGGCAATTCAAACGCCGATTTTCTTTGCCATAAAGTTTTGGACAGGTTCCTTGTTAAATGTATTTTAATTACAGCTTATTTTTATGCCGCCACAAACGCAGAGGGCACTAGAAAAAGTCGGAATACTTTCGTGCCATCACGTTCTTTAGCAGGCTGGTCCTTTCCCATGAAAAATAGCATGTAAGTTACTAGTAAGTCGTGTAAAAAGTGCGTTTACCAATGGCATAGATTGGTGGCATGGCAGGATTCGAACCCGGAACCTCTTGGTTCTGATCCGCCCCGAGAACAACTATAATATATTTCTTTCCATCGACTATTCGCTTCTCTTTTATTACTAACAGTGTCTCAACCGGAGGAGTCACCCCCTCCGCCGGCCGATGTCTCCTGCCGCCCGCCCGCCCCGCTGTACGTCAGGCGGGCAGGACTGAGGTTCTGGTGCACCAAACGGATCCTCGACTGGCAGAGACAGGCGCTGCGTGCGCGGGAGGACCCAGAAGCAGTTCTGAAGCCTGTCCAGGAATACGGCGAAGAGTCTGCCTCGAAGAATTCAGAAATTGGAGAAGCAAGCGTCAAAGGCCATAACCTTGCAGACTTAAATGCAGAGTGTCTACCAACAGAACAAAATGCTACTAAAAGGGTCGCACGTAGATGTACAAAGCGCACTCTTAGCAAGAGGAAAGGAGATGTGACCAGTAAACTGGGCCTGACATACTTCTCCACTCATACTAACATGGAATTCCAGAAAACACATGGCAACAGAAAACGTCCGATAGGACCGGGAGAGCATTATGAGAACCAGAAAGATCATGAGAACGATAGAGAACACGCACATTACGAGAACGACAAAGAACAGGGTCGTTGCGAAAATGATGGAGAACACGGGCATTATGAAAATGAAGGAGAACACGGGCATTATGAAAATAAAGGAGAACACGGGCATTATGAAAATGAAGGAGAACACGGGCATTACGACAATGAAGGCGAACGCGGGCATTACGAAAATGAAGGAGAACACGGGCATTACGAAAATGAAGGAGAACACGGGCATTATGAAAATGAAGGAGAACACGGGCATTACGAAAATGAAGGAGAACACGGGCATTATGAAAATGAAGGAGAACACGGGCATTACGAAAATGAAGAAGAACACGGGCATTATGAAGAACACAAATATTACCAGTACGATAAAAACCACGCACATGACGAGAACGACAAAGAACACGCGCATTACGAGAACGATGAAGAACACTCGAACTTATCTACGCATGTTCATGCCGATTTGGACCCCGACTTTCTGGCAGCACAAGATGCGATCAAAAACGCCACAGCTCAGCCGTTCTATGAGATGGATATCACCCCTGCGGATGAAGAACAAGAACAGCCATTTTACAAAATGGACGTCACCGCTGCCAAAGACAAACAACAAAAAGAACAGCCCTTTTACGAGATAAATGTCGCTAGTACTGATGACAACAATGAAGAAGTCTTCTACAAAATGGACGGCGATAAACTTGGCCATCCGACTCGGTCAGAGAACGCGTACGATGATTTAGATCCCGATTTTGTCGCAGCCCAAGACTCGGTGGACAGGAGGCACGGCACCAAGGAACCGAGCAGGGGTGAGTCACCTGCAGAGATTGCATATTTGTGTACTTAGACATCCAGTTCGAAAAAAGGGTACAAATGCTTATTTCGTCTAAGAATTATTGATATGTAATATCTACATTTAACTTAATTTGCTATGAATGCGTAATCTTGTTTGTTTTATGCTGTTCGTTAGTTTGTCGTATTATCTTTAAGCTATACATTCAATACTCTACCATTATCTTAATTAAGGTACTTTGTACCGCTGTTTTCTACTTTTCTTTATTTCAGTACGTTTTATTTATGTGTGCCTTCCTTGTGGCGACATGTTGCCTCTTAGTAAATATATAAAAGATGAAATGAACGATGCCGATCCAAATATGAATATAGGACGACTAGGTTTGATATTTAAACCTTTGTTGCAACATAAAAGTTCTCACTTATAGCGTTCGACCAGTTCTCTGGTCTTCTTCAATAGACTGAGACTTGTCACGTGGGTTCTCTGAAATGTGACGTCAACACTGGGTCAAAGGTATCAGCTGAACGATCTCGGATGCCTGGATGCACATAAATATGAAATATACCAATATATATATACCAATTTTTAAGAATTGCAGGTCCAAGCAAAAATGTCAAAAGAAGACTGAAACGCGAAAATCACAAGATCACGAAAATGCTCCATCTGAGATACACTATTGCACATATTACACATACGTTTGTTTGTTGTTCCACAGAAGCTGACAGTGACGGCACGAGCTGCAGTCAGAGCTGCCCTGCGTTCTGCAGGTTCCGTCTTGGGCGCATGGTGGCGCTTTGTGTTGGTGTCATCATTGTCGGTATTGCTGCAACTATGGTCGCCGTAATCCTCAACCAACACAGTGTACTGAGAGTCCACCCTAATATCGTGGTAGGTTAGGTCAGGCTTAAGAAAACTATATTGTGTTTCCCGTTACACGACCAAACTCAGGCTACACCAATTTAATTTGTTCCTCGGATTCGCCCTGTCCATTTTTTTCTGATTTGCGGAAAAAAAAATAAAAAATTATGTTCAGTCAACTGCAAAATAATGCTCAAAGAAAGTCATATTTTGGCCCCAACGGTTAAAGAAAGTCATTTTCTTCCTTGTTGTTAAAGTTTTTACAATGTAAAGCTGCGACCTTGTTCAAAATCCATAATTGTTTTAATTATAAAACAGCCTGGTATGTTGACTTCATGGCTCATATCGTAACATTTCCAGCTATCATGGGGTGCCTTCGCCTGTTTTTTTTAATTATTTCGCCCTTTCACTTCATATTTTTTCTGAAAAATCCGGGAAATAACAAATTTAATTGGTTTGGCCTTATCAAAACAAAAACCCGACCATGACCTATTCTTTTGTCGACCGCTGATTAGAGATACAAAATTTGATAAATTGATGCGGTACACTCGACTAAATTAGAACCAGACCTAATGTTTCAATTCAAGTCCACGCATTTCAGTGTGAACTGCATTTGTTGGATCGCTGTGGCTGAAATATAAACCTTCCCTTATTTCTGATACAGAAAACACAGATTGATTTTCCTAGACCTTATAATTTCCTTACGACTTTCCTTTCATAATGGTTTTGCACACAATTCTTATGAGCATTTCATAACGAGGTTTGTAATCAAACAATGCAACTGGGGTGTTATTTTTCTTTACTATGGTTATGGTTATGGTAGAGGTATTACTTATGTACGTCTGGTTTATTTCTTATTACAGCTGAACCACACATTACTTCCAACGACCTCCACAACAGTGCCTACACAGTTATCTGTGACGACACAAGATACTTCTGGGACGACAGTTGAAACAGGTAATTGTCGTGCATCTGTAGCCGCA